GGTGGTGGCATGCACAGTGCGCTCGTGGAGCTCATGGCCCCAGCGACTCCCGAGCGAGAGCGCGCACTCGTTATTGCGTGCGGTTGTGCGTGAGGCGGGCAGGCGAACTTGCCCCCCACGAGCTAGCATTGCCACTATTCTTGCTGTCGCAGGCACCTGCACGGATGTACCCTCCTTTCCCTTTCTCAAAATGAAAAACAAAAAAGAATACTTTTACGATGGCGGTGCCACGCTGTAATGTAAATATTAAGCACTATATTCTCCATGCTTGTTTTGCGTGTTGTGCTTTTTCACACTGTTTCTTCATGTTAAAAGTGCACTGAAGCTTCCCGAGACAGTACACGTGTCAGGGATTGCGACCGCGCCCTTAAAATCAAAGTGCACCGTTGATAGTTGAGCGACCCCTCCGCGCGTTTTTTCATGCTCATTCAATGCGGGTGGTTTTCTTTCTCGTTTAGCATTCGATGGCAGTTCTAACACGTGGAGAGACGTTATTTTATGTGCCCTCCAGGCGATAGAGATCAACCGGCTCATTTGATGTTTGCTTCAGCAGCACTCGCGCACTTTTTTCCGCTTGTAGAAGTTACGATGCGCGGGGGCTTATCATCGATGATTTGGACTTGTTACGGAACATGACGGCGACGGCAAAAACCTGTCGAGAGTGTCCATCTAATTGCTATCGTAATAATAATGCAGTTTTTTGCCGCTGAGTATGGTAGGTGTTTAGGGCTAGCTCTGTCTTTAGTTCTCTTATTGTTCGATTTGTGTGTTTATTTTTCAAATTTTCGTACCAAATCTGCATATCATGAAATCCTCTTTTAATGAATTTTTCCTTTGAATTTGCCAATTTCGTTATGTTCAGGTTTAACTGTAGTCACTATCAAGGAACAAGAAACCTCCATCGTGCCCGAATGGTCATTACGGGACTCCATTCCCCAAAAGCCCCATTTGATTACCTCGGCAAAATGTAGACTGTGTGTCTCTGTCAACAAAACGATGAACAAGATAAATGGAGTATCGAGCCGTGAGTCCAAGTCTGAGCGAGTAATATTCTGGCGAGTTTGAGTACCAGTGAGTTGGACTGAACAAAATTTTTGCGAGTCTGAGCCCTAAGCGCAAAATATATTTCGCAAGTGAGCCCGAGTGAGTTCTACAATTTTTGCCGACCTATACTCGCAAGCGACGGTCATTATTTCATTAGCAAAATGGCCAACCACTGATCATTTGTCTATCACAATGTAGCAAGCTAGTTTCATGCCAGTATGCGGACCTTGGCTCTTTCGCCATGTTTGAGTTTTGTGACACACACTGCCTGAAGTCAAAACAAAGCTACCGAGTGCTACATCCGCTGTGGACAAAACAGTGCCCAATAACAGTGCGCATGCACTTTTGGGGGCATGCGCACAGCCTACGCTCAGTGCCGGGGCAAAACTGATGGACACCGCAGCTTCTGGTAAATACACCTGGCACGCTAAGCACAGGCATGGATGCTGACTGCATATACCGTTCCGAGTGCATGCACCCATAAGCCACAGCTTTGACCCCATGATTAATGCAATGCTAAAAAACAGAGACGTATACAAAGAACGCACAGGATGAGTGCTTCGTCAACGATGCAAGTATTCCAACTTGCCCTTCTACTGCAGTATACAGTGTAGACCACTTATAATGTAACTGCTTATAGTGCAGAACCGCTTACAATGCGGTCTTTTAGGGGCGAAGCTCCTTAAAGCGGCACCCGTTCGTCCCTCGTCGTAGTCGTAGTGCATAACCAGTCTTACGCTTTGACCTGCAAGGTGGTGCCGGTAGGAGATTTCTCCTGTGCATTGTTGAACAATAAAAAATTCGCAGTGTGTGCGTTAACTAAAAGCCAAATTCTCCTGTCTCTCATTCCCAATTAGCAGCCATTGACATGTACATTGAGCACTCTTACAAGAAAGGGTTGCTAGGCTATACTCGCTGGGCATAACCTCCTTTGCTTTAGAAAGGTTTAGCGAGCGTTGGACCGCAGTGCCATGAATACAGTGAACTAGTACATACAATGAACTCGAGGTGGTTAATGGTGGGAGGTAGACACGAAGCGCAAGCCGTAAGAAAGTGTGCGTGTGCCACTTCTGGCTACCCCCCCGACACCCCGTTAACTACTCGATCGATGCACAGTAGCTGAATTTTGGGGGGTGATGCATATTTACAACAGTTTACAAAAGATGATGACAGCACCAGGCGTGGGAGCCTTTGTTACCAGAAAGGTGCAAAGTAAAAAAAAATATTGGGTGTATCTTATTAAGCTGAGGTTGGCATCGAAATTCTAGTTGTCGAGGCTATTTTGGAGCAGTTCAGCACAATTTTTGTAATTTTTATGCTTTTTGAGCAGCTTGGCGCAAGAAAACGGAAATGTATCAAAAATGCACAATATGGGCAACTGTCTCACTCCTGCCTACCCCGTCACTAATACCAAAGAAGGCTGGCCATGTGTGCAGCAACGTCAAAGTGTCGCTGAGTGCTTTCTTTGAACCCCTTGGTGTGGTACACCATGAGTACGCACCACAGGGTCAAACAATCCCCAAAGAGTACAACAGGGATGTCCTCCATCGCATACGTGACGCTGTGCAGTGCAAGAGACCTGAGTTGTGGTCAACAAGAAACTGGTGCATCCATCACAACAATGCTCCTGCACATTCCTCACACTTGGTTCAGACTTCATTGGCGAAAAGTCAGACTCTAGTTCAACAGGCTCCTTGATCTTCTGATGTGGTCCCTTGCGACTTCTGGCTGTTTCCCAAACTGAAGAGGACATTGAAAGGAGAGCGATTTCAGACAAGGAAGGACATTATGGCTGCAATAACAGCTGAGCTAAACCCCATTTTGAAAGAGGCCACCTCAGAATGCTTCCAACAATGGCAGCACCGCTGGGAAAAATGCAGGGAGTCCCAAGGGTACTACATTCAGAGGGAGTAAGCTTCCAATGCTCTAATTATGCCAGCTTTTTTTATTCCGCCAAAGGTCGGATATTTTTCTAACAGACCTCGTACATGTACTACACGTATATATACACTCAAACCTCGTTATAACGAAGTTGAAGGGGAGTCACAACTATTTCATTATATCCGTTATTTTATTATAACGATTATAACAGTTTGTGGCAATGTATGCCCAGATGGGCGCACACTTATAAGCATGCAAAGAAGGAAACCGCCTCACAGCCCTATGCACCGCTACGCGATGACGGCAAATAAACAAAGTCGAATCTCATAACTCAAACACGCTTATTTAGAACTTCCGGTTAATTCGAACTCTCGCTGTGGTCCCGTCAAAGCTATGTGTATTCCAATGGGCGAAAAGGATTTGTAATTCGAACGCGCAAGCACTTTCGGCAGTTGATTTGAACATACTGCGCTCCAAAAATTCTCTCAGCACCATGCCCAAACCCGCAGCGGCACCTCTCAACGCTGCTCGCGAAGAAGGAAAAGAAGAAAAGGAAAGAAAAGACTGTGGCGGATTGTTTGCTCTCTCAAAAGCCGATCTCCGACGCGCCTGTGTCCACTGTTACTAGACTAGCCTGTGCCACGCTTGTCCCTTTTCCGTCTCTGCACGTAGAGACCCTTCTCCTTGCAAGGCCCCGCGTGGAGAGAGAGAGGAAAAAAAAAAGAAAGCTGTCAATGCCGATCTGCTTCTCTCCGCATGGAGATGCTCCCATTTTTTCGGTGCGGAGGGTAGCAGCAGAGACGCAGTCATTGCCGTCGTCTTTAGAGAGTGTTGGCGCTGGACTTAGCCGCGCGCTACTATGCTTTGCAAACTGCTTGCAAAATTGATTGACTCGCTGCAAGGCAGTGTGCAGATTCGCATCACCGATTACTTCAATTAATGACGTATGCCCTCTGATTTGTGAATAAATGTAAATCTTCTGAAGCTTCCCCATCGTGTGTTCTTAAGTGAGAGGGAAATGGCTTTGCACCGCGGTGCCACTTCTCGGTCATGTGACCCGCTGAGCGCTTCCTCAATCCTCTTCGCTGGCTGTGTGAGGAAGATGACTCTCTCGGCCACGCGTGGCGTGGCTGTAAGGTCAGCGCGGGAGTTTTGAAAAAGTCGTGCCGAGCGAGCGTCAAACTCCGCAGAAAACTATATACTTAACATACTACGGTCGGTTTTTTTTTATAGACTATTTGATAGACTAATTTAGTTCGTTGTATCCATTTACCGGTCAATTTTATTTCGTTACAACGAGGTTTAATATGCATGGTTCTCAATGGAGCTTTTAAGGAGAATTTCATTTACTTTGTTATATCCATTATTTTGCTATATCCTATTAAGCTATACGAGGTTCGAGTGTACATAATATATATAATATATTATGTATATATACTTCCATATATATAATATATGCATATATATAATTCCATAACAGCCGTCATAAAATTTCCGAGGCACTGGGTTGTGTACTAGTGATTCCAATGAAAAACAGGCTGCTTGGTGTACTGCAAAAAACAGCGAATATGGATGTTATACCATCTCCGAACAGATGAAGATATAGTAATGCAGCAGTGGCCGCAGAGTTTTCTACAGTATTTACTAGAAAGAACTCTGGTGCTGCGATTGTTCAACCACCAGCGCACTTGTAGCTTCGTTATGTTTGTTTATTATGTTTTGACATTTGTTTCAGGGAAAAGAATAGATCATTGAGAACTTCATCAGCTGAATTGAAGTGGTGAGCCTTCAAAAGTCAAGGTGGCTAAGTGGGATTGCAGAATATTTGCTAGACTTCATCAAGTGACAAAGTGGCTCCAGGCCACAAAAAGACAAACCAAATGAAGCTGAAACAAATCCGCCCATCATTCCCATGCTCGCTGAAATGTGCGTTTCACCTCTTATTGACACTACACCAGATTTCCCCGAAGTATTTTCAGAAACTCTCTGGCAGTGGCCATGCAAATAACAATGCGAGGGTGGTGTTGTCACCTGTATCACCAGAACATACAATATAAAAGCTCATACAAACTTACAATGTTGTTGTCTTCATCGGATGCAACACTGTCATACAGAGGTTCATCATCACTCAGCCTCTGGTCCTCCAAGACTGCACACAGAAGAAGGTCATTTTGAGTGACGGCCACATTTATTTAGCATTCCCAATTCCATTTGAATAAAACTAACACAAAAACATGTGATGAACCACATTCTAGCAAACATTTAAAAACTTTACAGTTCATAAATAGTCTCATAAAATGCGATTATATATCAAGTTCCCAATGCAAAGAAAATTTTCATTCCCTTGCAATTAGTGTTCAATGTTGCAATCATCCCAAATCAACGTGTGAACCTGGCTTCGAAACCCAATTCAACAAAGCTTTTATTTCAACAGCAGTTATATAAACACACTTTACGTTGGGTTTTTGCTGTTGGCATCACCATCATGATCTGTGTAGAGTCCAAATTGATAACATTGCCTCTTGTATTGCACACGTTCTACCTGGGAATAAGTGTACACATGTGGGTGCGACCAACGCGCCTAAAGAAGAGATCAAATGAGCCAGCTTATCTCTGTTGCTCAGAGGGTGATAATATCCCCATGGGTGATGATGAACAAGGCTCCCATCAGCGGAGCTGAAATGTCGGTTTTTAGGTTCTTTCTTGTGGTCGGCATCTTTCTTTTAATGCACTCATCTTACTTCGAAATCAGATTCGCTTCCTTAAAAATCCCAACTTCCTCTCCCTGCATGCTAGGCCTGCCATCAAACACTCCAGCAGACAGGAAATGCCCTGTTCATCTTGCAAGAGCATGAAGAAACCCATGGGTCACTTGAAATGCAGTTGTGAACTTTGATTTTAAAGGAGCGGTTGCAATTGCTGGCATGCTATCTCAGCAGGCATTGGTGCAGATGGCTCATATACCCTTCCAGGTACTATGCTTTCAACGCAACGAGACCGAGCAGGAGTATGTCATCCTCAGTGCTTTGTAAGGTTACCCAATATTGAATGCGAAAAAGTTAGCTGCCAGCATGACGTCGAATAACATTACATGTTGTTGCTGTTGCATTTATTGCTTTGCCCTTGCGGTGAAACTGTGATATTTTTTCCTGAAACGAATTCATAAGAAAAGAATGATTTCTAGAGATGTGCGAATAGCAAATTTGGGTGCGAACTGCATCAAATATTTTTTTAATATTTCTCGAATATTGATAGAATATTTTTAATTACTTTAAAGAGAAATTGCAGAGAAAAGCTGGAGAGGATTACTAAGCGTTTCCTTACCAGACAGCAACATGAAAGTCTTTCTTTTGGCTAGGTTGTTAAAGCCCTGAAGTGTTTCGTAGTTGTCTTATCAAGAATGAAGCAATGCTGAATGGTATTTGTGCACAAGAATGGTGCAATCAAAGTGTTGTGGATAACACTTTATACGTGAAAGGCAAAGAAGTAATTTCCTCAGCTTCTCCTCCTTTTTCAAATTACTGCTCGGGTGATTTGTTCCACAATTAAATTAGATTTACCAGCAGAAAAAAAATAAAACACATAAAGGACACACAAACAGAGAGCTGAATTTGGTTGAATAATCTTGAATAATTTCGAATAGTGCTGTATATCCCGTAATGCCAAGAAAAATGGGCATATTTGTCATGACCTACCAAACCTGCACAATATCTTTTTAAATATGAAACAAGGTTTACGCAAATGCCATTGTTTCGGTTCAAAGAAAGTGGAAACAACTTTGAATAGTAGCAGGATTCGACTTTCTATGAAATGCTAGCGGTAACTTGTAAAACATGTTACATGTTGAAGTTTACTTATGTACTTAGAGCCTATTAACTCGTATAACAAGCTTTTAAGAGGAGATGAGTGTTGAAACATGTGAGTTTTTTTTTTCAAAATTACATTTTTTTGTTTTTATTTGCTTTCACAAGCTTAGCTTTCTACTTTTATTTATTTATTTGCACTCATACCCACAGTGCCATTCAGGCATTACAATGAGAAAGGTTACACAGAGAATTTATACATCATACATTTCAAGAACATTGGTAGAAAAAGAAAAGACAAAATTAAAATTATGATTACTAAACAGAAATACCGGCATACAATGTTGTCAATGCACATGAATTACATAAAGATCCCACAAAAAACTTAGACGAAGAGAGAAAGAAACATAAATGAAATCATACTGTATAAACATAAAAAATACAAAGCTACGCGGTAAGAACTAAATATTCCCTGAAATTGGACTGCAGCTGAAGACAGAATGAAATGTCCAAAAGCGGCCGCAAAAGCTTCATTATCTAGTATGCTGACCCTGTCAGCAGACACTTATTCCATTCAGAAACTGTCATCAGGAAAACAATTGCTTCAAAATAGATTAGCCTTTGGGAATCGAGGCTAGCCTGTGGGCTTTGCCGCCTCTTTCTGCGTTCTCGTGTCCGCCGCTTTTGCGCAGTCTTTGCCGCCTCTTTCTGCGTTCTCGTGCCCTGACATGACTATCCTTTCCTCCGCGGTCTTCAGCGCTGGGGGAGCGAGGAGTGACGTTTAACCCTTCGGTAGCGGATGTAGACTGTGACGCCGTGTGCAAAGTCTCTCGGGACGTTCTGCACGCGTGTGTCGGGAGTGAGTCAGATCTCTCCGGGACGATATAAGGAAAGCATGCAATTCTTTTTTGTCTGTCGGCTCCCTTTGTTTAGGGCTCGTTTGAACTTCACCAACGACTCCTTGCGCCCGCCCCTTCGCCTTCGAATGTTAGGCCGAAGAGTGGTGCGGCGTCCTAGTGTGTGATCATACTACGTCGAACTGTACCTCTCGGAAACCAAAGCGAGTGCCTTTGCCCTCGCTCGAGCAACCAGGACTTTTGTACCGGCGTCCCCGTGAATCACCTTTGCCCACAAAGACGTGCTCGCGGCACCTTGTGTGTGGCTATGTGTGGCTGAAACACTAGATAGGCTTCTGCGTCAGCCGTACATAGGACAGACCCCCTACATCTGGCGCCCAACGTAACGAATTTGGCAACGCGGCTAGTTTGTGGACACGAGCAACTACCGACGCTCTCCGACACTTAGGATAACAGGCATGTCGAAATTCCAAGATTTGTCAATGTTGTCTGATGTCGCGTCGCAGAGTGGCCATCCTTTGGCTAACGCCGGGGCACTGTTAGGACTTTCCGACAGCTTAGACTTTGGTCATTTCACATGGGATGATCAGGAAGGTGCAGAGACCGCGTTAGCAGAGATTAGGCCTACAACGCAAAAGCATCACGCATGGCGCTCCGGCATCTCGCAACGCGAACAGAGAAGCGTCGCAACTGTAGGCAAATCCGCGGGCAGCAGTTTGCCCTCGAGCGAGATACTCTTACAGAATGCGCTGTCAGTTATGCAAAGCCTCGCGAGCGCCCTGCAGAACACAGCGCAGGCCCCCATGGAGACTGTGCGACCATGTGTCAAGGTATGCATACCTACCTACCCTGGTTACCACGACTGCAAGAGCGCCAACGAGTATCTCGACCAGTTGTTCCATTATCAGCAAGCGACGGGGCTTTCTGACGCAAAGCTTCTCGTGCGCATGGTCCCGGTGTCGCTCACGGAGCAAGCGGCTCGGTGGACTAATCGGATATCGCGCCCGTACAGTAGAAGAGTTCTGCGACAGCTTCCGCGGCGAATTCGTACCGGCTAATCCTGAGTGGCATTTGCGGAGAAAATTGGAGCTATGCACCAAGCATCCAGACGAATCCTTGCTGGAATATGTAGGGGCAATGGACGAACTGTATCGTCTCGCTAACCCTCACGCCACCAACGCGGAAAAAGTCGAGCGCGTTACGCGTCAAGCGCACCCGACTTTTGCGCCGCACTTCAGGGGATGTAAGTTTGCAGACCTAGAAGAGCTCGCCACCAAGGTGAAGCGCATACAAGGGGACATCCTGGCTGTGCGTGGAATGGCGGCGCGGTAGTTTCAGAAGCGTTTAGGGGTAATGCTTCGGCATCGTTCGCTGATGAGCAGGTACCACGCGATTGGGAGCTGTCCGACCGTGCTTTGCACTCCTACGCTTACGCGCTGCGTAGGGCCCACGCCGCTCCCGCGCGTGACATTCCAAGGCAGGAGCATGCGGTCGGCACGAGGCTTAACGAGCGGCGCAATCTGGAGCGAGGACCACCTGATCAAGCAACTTGCGGTTGGGCCGGCGTGGTGTCCGTGATCCTTTCTATCGGTGCGGCACGCCTGGGCACATCGCCCGCGAATGCAATCACACACCGAGTCAGGAGGAAACGCGCGGTTCGGGAAACGAACGGCGCCACCGGTGATCCACATCGGACCCCGGGCGGCGATGAGTAATTCCACTGATGCGTTCGGATCACTTGCACTGTCAGTCTGTCGCACAAGTGAAGCCGTAGACTCGCTGTAGACCACTAATCGAGTTAACGATAGCTCGAAAGAAGTTCGTAGCACTTTTGAATACTGGGGCAAGCGCTTCTTTGTTCGGCAACGACATGTTGCACCATCTCCGCGAGAACAATACCACCTTGAGACAAAACAACACCATTTTCCGCCTTGCTACCGGCACAGCACAATCGAGCGGCGCAGCTAGCCTAGTGATCCGCTAGGATAGACGCATGAGGCGACAGCGTTTTGTGCATCTTCCTGGGCTGTCAATGTCTCTAATCCTGGATCGAGACTTTCTCGCTAAGTCGGGTATTATAACTGAAATTGCAAACGGCGGTTACCACGAGCGCGACGGAGACCCGCTAAAGCTTTTCTCGAAGGCCCCCACATTGACAAAGGCATGCTAATCGCAGGGAGAGGTGCAAGTACCCGAGGAGGGAAGCGCGCCGAGAAAGCGAGTTACCACCTTGCCGGAACAATGTGCTGCGCTGCAGGGAAGGGCAGTACACCCGCTTTTAGTAGAGGCACAGTGCCTACTAGAAGGGGAACGAGCGCAGCTGTCGTCGCTGTTGTACGAGTATTACGCGATGTTTACTGACCGTCCTGGCCGCACTACGCTGGTCAAGCATAGAATTGACACGGGTGATGCACGACCTTGGAAATGCAACCCTCGACCAATCAGTTTCGCTAAGCAAAAAGCACTTGACGCTGCCTTGGATGGACTTC